TTGGGGTCCGCCCCCGTTAAAAAATTCTTCAATCTGTTTTTGTATAATATCATTAACTTAGTCTGGCAATTTTAAAGTTTGGACCCCTCCGATAAAAGAATCCTGTATCCGCCCCTGATCTTACAGTGACTGCTGCAGGCAAAACTGTTTTGTACGACACACAGTATGCTAATAGAGAAATTGCTATGGATATTGGGTCATCTATCTCATAAAAAGGAACCTAATATATACAAAAATAATCCAGTAAGTCAAATTATGTATAATTTCACTCAATATAAATCATAAACCTGCAGTTAATAACAACCAGCACATACACTGACACTGCTCATCAATCACCATAAATAAATAAACATTTCAACATTTTCCACAATTTATTTTTTACTTTTCACCAATTACCATAACATGCGATAAATGATGCCTGTTTTCAACAAATGCATATATTGACACTTTTCAATACACAGTCTGACATTCTGTCACTTTTTACCAATAACCAAACATTCTGACACTTTTCACCAAGACCATTTTGTCGCTTTTCACTAATAACCAACCATTCTCTTCTGACATTTTTCACCAATAACCAAACATTCTGACACTTTTCCCCAATAACCATTTTGTCGCTTTTGACCAATAACCAACCATTCTCTTCTGACATTTTTCACCGATAACCAACCATTCTCTTCTGACATTTTTCACCAATAACCAAACATTCTGACACTTTTCACCAATAATCATTTTGTCGCTTTCCACCAATAACCAACCATTCTCTTCTGACATTTTTCACCAATAACCAACCATTCTGACACTTTTCACCAATAATCATTTTGTCGCTTTTGACCAATAACCAACCATTCTCTTCTGACACTTTTCACCAATAACCAACCATTCTATTCTGACACTTTTCACCAATAACCAACCATTCTATTCTGACATTTTTCACCAATAATCAAACATTTTAACACTTGTCATCATAACCAAACATTTTAACACTGTTCATAATAACCAAACCATTCTGCCACTTTTCAACAATAACCAAACATTCTGACACTCTTCACCATTAGCCAAACATTGACACTATTCACCAATAACCAACCATTCTATTATGACATTTTTCACCAATAACCAACCATTCTATTCTGACACTTTTCACCAATAACCAACCATTCTATTCTGACACTTTTCACCAATAACCAAACATTCTATTCTGACATTTTTCACCAATAACCAACCATTCTATTCTGACATTTTTCACCAATAACCAAACATTCTATTCTGACACTTTTCACCAATAACCAACCATTCTATTCTGATATTTTTCACCAATAACCAAACATTCTATTCTGACATTTTTCACCAATAACAAACCATTCTATTCTGACACTTTTCACCAATAACCAAACATTCTATTCTGACATTTTTCACCAATAACCAACCATTCTATTCTGACATTTTTCACCAATAACCAAACATTCTATTCTGACACTTTTCACCAATAACCAACCATTCTATTCTGATATTTTTCACCAATAACCAAACATTCTATTCTGACATTTTTCACCAATAACAAACCATTCTATTCTGACACTTTTCACCAATAACCAACCATTCTATTCTGACAGTTTTCACCAATAACCAAACATCATAACACTTTTCATCATAACCAATCATTTTGACACTTTTCACAAATAACCAAACATTCTGACACTTTTCACCATTAGCCAAACATTGAAACTATTCACCAATAACCAAATATTCTATTCTGACATTTTCCACCAATAACCAACCCTTCTATTCAGACACTTTTCACCAATAACAAACCATTCTATTCTGACATTTTTCACCAATAACCAATCAATCAATCTATTCTGACACTTTTCACCAATAACCAACCATTATATTATGACATTTTTCACCAATAACCAACCATTCTATTCTGACACTTTTCACCAATAACCAACCATTCTATTCTGACACTTTTCACCAATA